AAAAAAAAAAAAAAAAAAAAAAAAACCGAACTATATATGTAAAAAAATGTAAAGTAAAGGCCCAACACAGATCGGCAATCGGACATTACCGAATTGCGGAACTGCCGGGGCGCTGGCTGGTAGCGATGTTGGAAAGTAGATTGGGCTGTGACAAACAGATTTGAAGCAAATAAAAAGAAATAAAAAGCAGAAAAAAAAAATGGAAATAAGAGAAGAATGATCATGTGTTTCATCAAATTTAAAAAAAATAAAATAAAATTTGACAGGTCCTAATGGTAACCTTGTTTGCGCATTTCAGGTCTTCAGCAGACATTCAAAGCGTCGTTTGTTCAAAACCAAGCAAAGTGGCCAAGACTTGAGCCTCCCTCCGCCACAACCTCCATGGCACTCAGTTTATGGCTGGGGGATGTAGATCCAGCAGTGCAATATAGATCTGAAGGCGAGATCCCACCACCACCACCACCACCGTTGATCCGCCAGCCCAAAGATGCAGATCTGAAGGCCAAGGGATTCAAAACGCATGAATATGACATCGTCACAGCCACGCCATGACCCGGTGAATGAGGTTGGAGTCCCTCTGGAGGAGAACGATCTTCAGCCGCACGGATCAGCCAAACTCGAAGCTTCCTCAGGCTTCTCTCAATCATCGAGTTAATCATTGGATTACCGGAAAGATTTTGCCGCAAAATTCCAGACGTTGTAGATCGGGTTTGGCTGGAATAGAAAAGCTATGTCGCTGCAGATACAGAGACGGGGTTGCTATCAAAAACGTAAGATCCGATCTGTTGCAGTTGCAGGCCATTTAAGACTGTGCTTGGAAAAGCGAAATATATATAGTAGGGTATTAGGGTTGCGTAGTTAAAGATGAAGATAGGGGTTCTACTTTTATTGGAATTACTGTTATACCCTTGACACGTATCTAGCAATCAAATATATTTGACTGACTTTATCAACTCACTTACGTACATCTGTCAGTAGAATGGTTGAGAAGCGAAACGAGTGTTATTTATTGGGTAAATACCCGAATGGTCCCTCAACTTTTATTTTTGAACCAAGTCTGTCCTTCCTCTTTAAAAAGGATTTGAACTGTAAATTCTATACAAGTGGTTTTACGTTTTTATACGCGTTATTAATTAATATCAGTTATATAATATATAAATAGTAATTAAAAATTTTATATTTTTTTATTGAATAGTTTGAATTAAAAAATATTTTAATTATTGTTTAGGAGAAAAATTAAAATTAAAATGTTATAAAATTATTTAAATACTTTTAATATATTTTTATGTTGATTTATTAATAATATTATCCTAATATTTTAATTATTAAGACATTTTAATTTTTTACTATCCCATTATTTATATAATATATTATAAAAATATTATCTAAAAATATATAAACAAAAGTCTAACAACCCATATTTTAAAACTAAACAAGTAATATATATATAGATATATATACTTCTTAAAATGTCATTGGAATTTTGGACTAGAATGGTGGGGGCAAAAATAAAATAGAGTTTCATGTATTTCAATTAAAATTGTATATTAAAAGTGCAGTGTTGATAATGAAATTATTAAGTTACTTTTAATGAATAAATATAAGAAAAATTTTTATTATGAGTATTTTAATAATGAGTTTTTCTAATATGTACTCTTAAAATGTAGGTTAAGAGATACAATTAATACATTTTTTATAATTAATTTACATAAAAATGATAAATGTTAACTTTGAATTAATCAATTAACCAATTAAATCATTTACTTATCAATGTTGTTAAAATAAAAATCAACTTTTATAATTTTTATGTAAAGTAATTATAAAAATATGCATTTATTGCATCTTAAAATACAAATTAAATAAACTCTTTAATAATTTTAGTAGTTAAAATTTTATTTTTAATGTATAATTTGATCTGAAACATAATTTTTTTTAACAAAATACCCGAAAGAGGAGTTAATTGCTGTGGATTTTTTTTTTTTTTTTTTGAAAATAGGTAATGGATTGCTGTGCATGTTTTCAAATTGGATGTATCCCGGAAGGAATGGGAAAGGGTCCAGAGTTTCAAGGATATAATATTCTTTACAGGTTCTTTCTCATTTTTTATGTCTTGCAACTCAAATTGGAATAAAAAATAATCACATTTAGGGTTTGTTTGGTAATACTTTCAGGAGTTTTAGTTTTTTGATACTATTTATATTTCATAAAGTTAAATTATTCTCTTGAAATTTTATATTTTTAAAATATTTTTTAACTTTAAAAAGAGCTCAAATAATAAAAACTCAAAAACTTTAAATTCAAACTTTTTACAATTTCACATTTTACTCGTTTTTTTCTATCTTTAAAAGTAATTTTTAAAATTTTACTCATCCATCCATCTCTCTACAATTTAAATTACATTAATTATTGCAATTAACGATGCCAATTAGGTATGTATATATATGGATTTTTTTAATCTATACTTTTAAAACACGAGCTAATGATATCTTTTTATAATAAATTTATGAAGGAAAATATAAAAGTAAAATAATTTTTATGTTAATGTTATATGAATAAATTTAATTAGATAATTAATAAATTAAATGTTATATTTTATTTTTTCAAGATTCTCAAGGTACAAAGTAAAAAAACCCATTTTTTTTCCGCCAATAACAGGCAAATTATATAGATTATTAGCAAGTTACAATGTTTCTGGGAACAGAGTTCGCAATAGCCTGAGTACAAAAAATATAGTCGAAGTTGAGAAGGACAAAAATCAAAGACTATAAAAGATGAATCTGTCATGGCTCCAAGTAGGACTTGGATTTAGCTTTTGAAACCCTGCTCTACTCCTGCCGGTAATAGGACTTGGATTATAACCTCACCCACACCGTCCGTCTCTCCCCACTCTATATAACAAACCAAAACGTACAATTTTTGTGAGTCACCCACCCTTTAATTAATTAGCTCTCTTCTCTCCTAAGCCACGACATGGAGGATGATCGGAAGTTTCTCTCTTTGCCACCGTGCCTTTGCTTGGCCTTCATTCGCGGTAAAGACGATGAGTTGTTGACCTTCTGCCCAATCGAAGAGAACGGAGGAGGTGTCGTTGAGAAAAACACACCTGATCTCCTGCGCAACGAAGATTATACAATAAGGAATTGCTGTCATGGTTGGCTAATCCTTTCTGATGCAGAAGAGATTCACTACACTCTCTGGAGCCCTGCTGAGACGATACACTTACCTGCTCTCCCTTTGAACCCTGAACAAGAAATCGGTTACTGCATATTAACGTCGCCTCCAGGTAATTCTGATAGTATGGTTGTGCTATTCGAGACAACGGGACCTTCCTTTTACTATTGTAAGGTTGGAGATCAACAATGGACATGGACCGAGCAGCTCGTCGCACCCGAATTAAATCCTGTTACGTTCGATGGTAGGATATTATTTTGCAATACTAAGGGAGGAGTGTGGGGAGTAGGAACGATTGATATCAATCCAGACCGTCCGGCCTTTAGCTTTTTAGGCCTGCAGGATCCTCGTCTCAATGTTCCTTGGGAATGTATACAAGATTATTTGGTGGAATCCTTCGGGGAGATATTTAGTTTTCGTTTTCTGCGCAATGCAGATTATGGGTGGGAGGATCATGAAGTAATTGCTGTCCAAGTTTTCAAATTGGATGTATCCCGGAGGGAATGGGAGAGGGTACAGAGTTTCAAGGACAGAGCATTCTTTCTAGGTTCTTTCCCGTTTTCATGTCCTGCAACCCAGACAGGAATCAAAGGCAACCATGTTTACTTCCAATTATATAAT